CGTTTTGACGGTGGGAATTACATGTATCTAGAAAATTGACAATGTGAAGATGGGGGTCTTCACCCGCCAATCCACTAAATAGCCCGTTATTTTGGAGCATCGTCAAGAGGCCTTGCTTGATCTCAAAATTGTGCGCCTCAATAGGTGGATATTGGATGCTCGGGCGGAATCCGTCATGAGTCGGGATTATGTAATCTTGAAGTGCCCGTGGCCGAACTGCTGGCTGTGCTGCTGGCTGAAGGGGTGGTTCTTGGACTTGGTTTCCGTTGGCCCCGAGTAAATTACCCGCTGCCCTGCGTTCTTCGTCCTCCATTATATTGTTTGCGCGTTGAAGTCTCCTAGCGGCTCGAAAAGTACGTTCGATTTCGGGATCAAACGGTTCTCTAGCAAGATCGAGTCTCCTACGCATACACAGTACCTAAAAAGAAAAATAAAATAAAACAAAAATTAAATGGGTGAATCGTGAAAATTGTTCAAATCTAGAGCTAGAATAAAATAAATAATTAAAATATTCCCCGGCAACGGCGCCAAAAACTTGTTGGCCGAAAACCTACACGCAAGTGCAAGTATCGTACAAGTAATATAGTGGACTAAAAGTCCGGATATCGAACCCACAGGGAATATTTAATTACTTAATCCTAGACGCTAAATTCTACCAATTATTATCAAGCCCACCCTACACAGTCGAAAGATGATTAATAAACTAAACTAATTTAAAGCAATTAAATAGATAAAAACAAGAAAGCAATTTAAACACGAAGATTAATCAAAGTAGACAAGCCTAGGATTTATTCTTCCCCCTATGTGATTATTACTCCCCCAATTCCTTCAATTATGCAAGTAATTAACCCGGATTATTAACCTGAGATACTAAAATAATCATAACCCGCTTCCGCGTGTATTACGATTTTAAAACTCTAGATTCAATTACTATATTCCTATGCAATTAATTCTAGAACACAACATTAAGCACAAATCTCAATAATGGCTACCTAAGAGATTAACTATATTCCTATGTTAATACCACAAAGGCTCTTCTACCACAGTTCTAATTATTAACCCGATCTTCTGATTCATGCGATTAACAATAACATAAAAGCACATAAGGTGATCAAATTCATACACTTAATAAAACAAGTAGAAGAAATAATCCGGAATTAAAACTTGCATAAAATCATAGAAAAGGGTTCATAAATCCCACATAGGGTTCCAAATAAAATCCTAGGAATAAGAAAATTAGCTACTCATGATTAAAGGAAAAACACAAATAAAATAAGTCATAAACGATAAATCTATGCTTAGAGTCTTCGAATTCTTCTTCTTCGTTATTGCTTTGTTGCTCTCCAAATTGCGTAAAAAGATGTCCAATTGTGTGCTTGACTTGGTCTTATATAGGGTGAAGAACTTGGGGAAGAAGGCAGTTTCCTTGTGCAATTAAAATCCCTTTACTGCGCAACTTCGGAGTCTCGAACGGGGGTCCCACAATTTTAACTAAAACTGGGACGGGGGTCCGAGCTTTAAATCTTCAGAATTTTGATTTTTTCACTTTTGGGCCATATTTTCTCCAAAATTGCAGTTTTGACCCCATACTTTTCCAATTCTTCAATTTGTACCCAAATACAATAAATCAACTTTTTAAGCACCAATTATCGTTAAAACACACCAAAAGCTCAAATAAAAAGATACGATAAAGTGTAAAAATATACACTTAACACTTTCACAGTCACCAAGGTCCTTGGCGGAGCGTACGAATTGCACGACAATACTGGCAAACGATTGCCTTGGGCGTGGAATATATGCCACTTGCGGAGGTTCTATGCATGAAACGAAGGCGTGACCTAAACTTTAAGCATATCTAATGAATTTCTTTTTCAATGGGCTACGGCCCCATGGTTTTTTACTATTATTATAAGGGGTTTTCCACGTTAAAAAACTCTTGGACTTCGCTGCTTACTTGCTTTTCCTACCATGTTCCGGACTTTTGTCATTTGCCAAACTAAAATAAAGTACAAGATTTGCGACATGCACCTCAAAGGTAGAAGGTCCCGATTAATTAAAGTACAAGACTAAAAAAAGTACAAGATTCGCGACCTGCACCTCAAAGGTAGCAGGTCCCGTTTAATTAAACTACAAGACAAAAACAATGTACAAGATTCGCAAACTGCACCTCAAAGGTAGCAAGTCCCGATTAATTAGAGTACAAGATTCGCAACCTGCACCTCAAAGGTAGTCAGTCCCAATTAAAATAGAAAACATAGTATAGGCACATGCATAGAAGAGGTGGCGAAGAAAGTAACAAAGATAAGTGAATACGCGCAAAGTCGACGAAAACCAAAATATGTTTACACAAACAACAAAAAGTTTTGCATTGATTGAGGAATAGCAAAAAGCAAGCTGATTGTCCAAAAATAATAGAAAATAAATACAACTTCAATAAAATCACTTTTGAGAATCACTGGCAAGGTCTTTTGCTCCTTCATCCTCAGCATCTTGGTAATCTTCAACCTCGCGATCCAGCTCGTCCTCTTTTCCACTCACTGCCGCGAGCTCGGTCGAAGGTGCTGCTTGCCCCGCAGGCGCAGGTCTAGGGCAGATACGATTGGCCACGGTTGAAAAGAGAGGCACCAACCAGGCGAGCGCTGGTTTCTCTGAGAAGTCGCCATCAAAACCATGAATCTTCTTGCTCACGTCTTTGGACATCGCCTTCTTGTCCAATTTCAAAGAAGAACTTCGAGATAGGAATGGCATTGCCAAAGAAAAGCATGGACCTCCATAGGCGATTGAAGAAGGCCTTCACGAACTCATCACGGAATCTAGCACCACGAGTCGTCTGTAGAAATTCATCATAACCGGCCAAGCGACCAGCCTCATAGCTCCTCGCTGAATTGTCCATTGCTTCGCATAACTGGACGAGTACGTGCCTATGCTCTTTCTCCATTTCGGCCATTTTCTCCTGCAAAGAACTCTTTTCAGCGCGAGCAACATCCACCTCTTCCGAGACGATTTGCAAGTCCTTCTCCAGCGTAGTCTTGTCCATGCTCAGACGCGTCCTCTCTCCCTTCAAACGATTATAAGCTTCGCGAAGGGTGCCCCTACTTTTGGCTTGGGCAGGTCGCCCACACGTTTTGCATCTATAAACAAGCGAAGACATTATAAAAAAGGGGAAATGTGGGATAACCCCCTACTTTTCAAAATATATATGAGAAGGCCCAATGTTTTTTTCTCTCTAAGGCAAAAACCCAAATTCTGAACTTAATTAGGTAGACCCCCCTGAGGACAGAGGATATGACTATTTTACCCTTATTTTCTGTTTTACTGGGCAAGGAAATTTCCTAATGGTATAGAAGGAAGCAGCTTATTTTTCTCCCTCTCTCTCGTCCCTGTTTCTCACGGTGATTTCTCTCTCTCGCTTTCTCCATCTCAATCGCTTCCTTATACGATTGGGTAGGGTTTCGGATTTTTGGGTGTTTTAGCGTGATTTGCGATCGAGGTTCAGCTTTCTCCATCTCAATCGCTTCCTTAAGGTTCGTTTTTTAATTTTTTTTACAGATATTTCATGGCTCGTTTTTGTTTATGATCATGATGCGCGGCTGGGTGTTCGTTGATTTTTCAATTGTGATTTTGCGTTTTCCTGTGTTTTTGTACAGTTTGGGGTTTTTATTGGTCAATTGTATTTGTGTTGATGCATTTCGATATTATATTTGTTTTTGATTTTTTTAGAGATTTGTAATTATATATACCATAGTAGTCATGTTTAGCATCGTAGACCTGTTGCTAATACAGAATTGTGTCGTTTTGATTTTTTCAGAAATTTGTATTTGATATATACCAGAGTAGTCATGTTTAGCATCATACACCTGTTTTATATCAGAGTAGTCATATACAGAATTGCTTTTTTGAATTTGTTTGTGTATATTTTTTGATTTGTATTGGTATACACAAGAGTAGTCATGTTTAGCATCATAGATCTGTTGCATGTCAGGATAGTTAAATATATGTTACAGTAGTCATATACAGTACTTTTTGTTTACATGTCCAGAATGTCTACAAATATTGTACTAATAATGAGGTTTGGAGAATTATTTGGTGTGAGAAAATGTGTTACTTCCTTTGGATTTCAAGAGTTGGTTGGATACGTAAGGGCCAAATGGGGCTTGTTGCACCAGAACACCATGTCTCTCACGTATACGGTTGTTGGTCATGGGGAGGGTGTGTTGTGTGATGATGACGCTGTGTTTTACATGCTGTCGTTAGCGCGCGAGATGTCTCTTGATCGTGTTGAAGTGAGTGTTAAACAAAGAGAGGGAGTTGTTCCTGATGTGGTATCAAGTGTATCATGTTTGTCTAATCGGGCACAACTGCATGATGAGGTTGCGTTCGAATTTGGTCAAGGTAGTGGAATCAATCACTTGCAAAATGCTGGAATGTGTGGTCAAACTCAGTTGATGAGTGCTAACTGGGCTGATTTGATCAAGGATGTTGGTCAAGTTTTTCGTGGAGGTGCTGTGGAGTTTAGGAAAGCTTTATGCATGTATTCGGTGGAAACTGGATTTGAGTTTACATACGTTAAGAATGAGCGTATACGTGTCACAGCTGAATGCAGACACAGGACAATAAAGAACTGTATGTGGAGGATACACGCATCAGTTGAGAAGGCCAATGGTTATTTTTATATAAAGAAATTTGAGAAGCATCACACTTGTGGATCTTCTTTTGGGTCGTCAAGGCAGAATAGAATGACGTCTGACATTATTGCTAGTATGATAGTTAATTTGGTACGAGCGAAGCCAGACATGGTTGCTAATGATGTTGTTGTGGATATGAAGCTGAATTATGGAGTCGACATTAGCTATTATGTGGCTTGGAGGTCTGTCACGGCAGGGAAGCAACATGTTTTTGGTGATGATACTAGTTCATACTCACACTTACCGTCGTACTTCGAAGAACTTGGTCGTACCAATCCGGATAGCGTTTAAAATCTTGACATCGATGCATATACGATGAAGTTTCGACGTTGTTTTTTTGCTTTTGGTGCATGCTTGTCGGGTTTTAAGTCATGTCGACCGTCACTCTCCCTGGATGGAACATTTCTGCACAACAAACACAAGGGCATTTTGTTAACTGCAATTGGGCAAGATGGTCATAATAGTAAGTTTTTGTACCTTTTAATGTGATTTATGACTATATATGGCTATATGTTACTAAGGCTGTTGTTGTTTCTTTTTTTACACAGAATTGTACCCAGTTGCATTTGGCATAGTTAGTGAAGAATCTGATAGCAATTGGGCTTACTTTCTTACTCATTTGAGGGTTTGCATTGGCACGGATCGTGTGGTGACGTTTTTCTCGGATCGCAATCACGGTATTTTGGATGGGGTGAAAAATATATTCCCTGATTGTCTTCATAGATACTGCTTGTATCACTTGCAATTAAATTTGTCAAGTAAATGTAGAGGTTGTCCATCTGGTTTTCGAAAGAAGATGGCTCATTTGTTTAATGCTTGTGCCTACGCTCCTACGAAATCTAAGTTTGATGTGCATATAAAGGAGTTTATAGAAACTGGAGGTACAAGGATTAGAAATTTTCTAGCAGACCTTCCGTATAACAACTGGACTTGTGCACATTTTGAGGGGAATAGATATGGGCAGATGGCATCTAGTGTTGCAGAATCGTGGAATATGAAGATTGGCGGCATTCGTGGCCTGCCTATAACAAATGTGGTTGATGGTCTTAGGAGTATTATGATGGTGGAAATGTGTGTAAGGGCAGAGGAGGCTGCGGTTATGTCAACTGTACTTTGCACTCCCATTTAGCGCGCTGTTAATAAACTAGTACATGACAGTAGAGTTTTGATAACAAAGAGGGCATCGGAGTACATTTACGAGGTGCTTAGTACTCCAATAGCTGTTGTTGACATTCGCAACAGGTCATGCACGTGTAGAGCGTGGCAAGTCAACGGTCTGCCGTGTATACATGCTGCGTGTGTTCTGTTCCATAACAATAATGATGGTTATGCATATGTGGACTATTATTACACTGTTGAGTGTTATAAAACCACGTATTCTCACAGTATTTATCCATTTGTCAAGCCAGATTTTGATGGTGATTTGCCTTTGGTTGGACCTCCAGATTATCATATTCGGCGTGGCAGGACGAAGGTGAAGAGAATTCCTTCGCGAGGTGAGAAGGTTAAGAGGAAGATAAAATGCAGCTCATGCAACCGTATGGGCAATCACAACAAGAAAACGTGCAGGAGGCCTGTATGAGACTTGAGTGGAACAGAAATGTATTTCAATTCTTTT